AAACAAAAGCTACTATTTCGACATAGAAAAATTCGTCACAGGGTTTATCCAATGGAGGCAATAAAAGAAATTGCCTAAAGCTATGTTGTACTTCTCCAGCTATTACAAATGACAACATCTGTAAAAATTATAAGCCTAGTTTATTTATGTAGTAGCATAGGGCACCTTAAGAAATTGCTAGAGTGGAACCGCAAGCTAACATTATAGAGCGCCTTCTTGTATATTTTCCGTTTGAGCAAATTTCAGACGTTAGGCCTGTATCTGACAGCTGGATATCCTTTCATATTTGATAAAGCTTTTGTTGAACGATAAAGAAGTAACTTGAGTTACAGTTACGCTAGCCCAAAAGTAATCTTTTAGTAAGAAAACGTGAGTTTAATAAAAGTTATCATGTTGAGTTACATTATATAACTACTAATTAATTCTCAAACAAGTTGAAAGAAATAAGGGGTGTCACACGATAAGTTTGGGAATGTATACACATATATATATATATATATATATTCATTCCATTCAGTGCGTGAGTGAGCATAAGAAAAAACTAACTTAACATTACATTTTGTACTTCACAGTATGATTATAATGGTTGAGTTCGACTATACGTAGGACTGATCATTCCGTCAGCATTGTATACATACCAGAGGTATCTATTAAATAATACCAGCATATTATTAATGCCTGAATCACTGCCGTCAGTACAAATGGGAGCTATTGCGTTCATCAGGCAAGATCAGGCAAAGTGATACCACTTACTCAATTAAACACAATGGATTGAGATTAAATTCGTTGGGCTGTGATCATATCGTTCATGACAATACGTCTGCTGATCCTATCGGGTAGTAAGTGGGGGCATATGGCTAAGAGGCAAAACGAGGGAACAGTTCGAACAAGATAAGCGTTCCTCACCAAGTATTATATTTTATATTCTAGCGCAGTCCTATACGCCATCTTTAAGTTCAGGCATAACATTGAAATTACTAACAATACCGACAAGAGATGTATGACATCTGAAAATTTACTAATTAACATAACTAGCAATTAGCATCTAGAACACAAGGGTAGTTACAGCAGACCTATCACGGTCTGCATTAGTTTAATAGAACGCGAGAATTACGATTCATAAAAAAGCAAAATCTCAATAGTTATACTTTGAATTTATGTGTTCTTAAGGATTATAATGATATGCATGTAGGGACAGGAAAAATTGACCCGAAAACCGCATAGATATTAGCTTCTCGAGTAAACATTGAGCGCTTTCAATGTAAAATTAAGACAATTATTTTTTTATATTTCAAAATAATACCTTGATTGACCACCTCCTGCCAATTTTCTGGTAACAGCATAATCTCATTAGTTATTCGGCTTTTGAAACTGATTGAAAACGATTAAGGGAGTTCTGCAGAGAACAAAACAGATGATAATTTAATGGTGCAAGGTTCAGTTTATACAGTGGACGCATTAAAATAACTGGCCTAAGTTCTCTAAGGTCTTGCTAGGTAACTAAGGATGCATGTAGTATGACATTAATATAGTCCCATTAATTGCTCACAGTAAAGACTGTTTAGTTTGACGACAGGGATTCATAGTGTACGATTTCTTCCGTTCCAGTTATACCAAACCTATAGCGTGCTCCTCTTTGACGTCGGTTTGGACTTTTTCACAGGTCGTAAAAAGCACTTTTTAATTTTCTCTGCGACCTATTTTCCATCAGCGATGATCAACCGCTCAAGAAATGGTTTCATTTCGATGTGTTTCTGCCGATTTTTGTAGATGAATATACGGTCGAATAAATGATCTCTCTCTCGACTGTGTGACCCTCTAACATCGAGCTTTTTTATAGTCAGCTTTCTTCAAATGGTTTAAAACCATTTGGCGGTGACGGTTAGTTCGTTACAGACGTCATGGTTACTCACGTGTCGGTTCCGTTCAGATTTCGCGGTAATTTCATCAACTTTTTTCGCAATTGGTGGACCACTCCGAAGAGCATCTCTCACATCGAAATTTCCAGAGTGAAGGCTAAAGAACAAACTTCAGGCCGTTTTTTCCTGATAACACATTTCTTATGGACTTGGCAAGCACTTGTACCCTTATAGCAAAAAAAACTGCGTAAAACTTCACTCATCTTCAAAGCGCTCCATCTCAAGTTTGATTGAAGGTATTCTAGCGATATTAGTACATTTTCTAATGTCAAATCAACTTGACCCAACACGACTTATACAATCTAAGATAAGCGAGTTTAGCACCATCTAGCAAAAAACATGATTAATGCTCGCTTTATAACCCAGTATATACATGTCCCATTGCAGTACATGTGTGAACAAAAAGCAAAGAACAGATATTATTTAGCGGATATATACAAGACGAAAAAATTGTGCCAGTCTTGTCTGTGCCAGTTTGTACGTTACCTGCTCATTTGATGAATATAAGACGTTTTTCTGATTATTGTGTAGTTAAGCGTACGTTTTGACCTTAGCGCAGGGCTTAAGCTTAGCAAACGTTGTAGTAGATCATAATTCCAGGTTGAGGCCAAGTGATGCTTGTCCGCAAAAGCACGTTAACTTGAACAATGAGCCTTAAGATCCACTAGCTGTGTCAATCGTATTCCGATGCAAAGCCGAATCTCAATTGCTTTATGACGCATTACTAGTTAACGACAATTTCACGGCGGTACGACGCAATCTAGTCGGCGATCGGCTAAACAACGCTCTGTTCGATAACCTACAGCCTATTGGTTGCTTCGGGCACTTACTATTCAGCCTTACATAGATGAAGACACTAATAGTTCTGAACGTCCGAAATTGCCGTAGGCATACTCGCCATGCGCTGTTTAACTGTTCTAATAGAGCTGAGTGGTGTAATTTTACGAGCCGGTTTTAGGATCGTTTTTTTAGGAGAAAGCTGGGAAGCTCGGGCAACACTAGATAGAATACGAATTAAATACAGGGGTATTGCGAAAGAAAACGCGGGGGCAAGCAGAAGCAGGCTTATAATTATTCATCCTGCAGAAAATATGCGCAGATAGCGACTACAAGCCGGGGTCCTGTTTGGCGTTTACTGAACTTTTCCGCTCGCTTTTAAAAAATAAAAGTAAGAGTCCGATCATAGGGGTGAGCGCTTGCGACCTTTATGACGTTACAACAAACGCCCCCAAACGTTCATGGTGCAATGCCACCTAGTCGCACTGAGAAGAAATCTAGAAAACCTATAGATAGGCGGAAACGTTTACGATCCGTGCTGAACGTTTTCTTTTTGCTGTTTGGGACGAAGTGACAGAAGGAACGAAACTAGACAATTGGAAATATCTTGTGGTAACGTTCTAGAGAAATACGTCAACTAAATCAAGACATAACGTCCATATTTCAAATATTTAGAATTTAGCTCGAACACTGCGCGTCTGACAGCTGTCTCCATTTAGGCTAGTAAGGACGCAGCTCTTTCAAATGGTCTGTTTAGGTCGTTACTGTCCCCATTATATATAGGCCTCTTTGTTCTCCTCTTATCAGTTCCGCGGTTTTTTGGTTTCAGATTTTCAGAATTTTGGTTTCAATATCATAAAACTTTTTTTATTAATCAAACTTTGTAGTTCGGTTTCGGAAAATCTACCAAAATTATACAAATCGACTTAAACACCATTTACATCTCGTAAACTGCATACTTTGTATTAAGCTTAACAGGTAACGAAAATTGTCGCAGTATCGTAAAAAGTGGACGTACTCAGAAATGGCTATAAAAAAATCTCTTTACGTATAGGATTACAGGTCATTCGGGGGCCTGTTTCTTTCATCTTCGCGTCATTAAGCTGAAAATATCTCCACCGCCGACAAAGATTGAAATTCATTATACCTTCTTCAGGTATACAATCGATCTGGAAAATGGAAGTACCAAATGTAATTGGTATATTGTAATATTTGTAGCTGGTATATTATTAGTTAGACACAAAAAACAAACACTTATAAGCAGACGAAATTTCAGCGCGCGCTGATTCGAGCCCAAAATA